GAAAATAATAGTTATTAAAAAGAAAACCAAGACATCTTTTCAAACATACTTTACTAGAAAATAACAAAAACCCTTCTCTCGAGGACGCGATAAAGGGGGGCTACCTTGAGCTGTCCGCGAGTGTTGACGCCGATGGAACGCTGGATGTAGTCGCGTTCGATGTGGGAGATGCCTCGATGCTTGGCGGGCGAGTCAGCCACGAAGACGAACACCAGGATGCCGACGAGGAGTCCGAGCGCCCCGGAGGAGTAGAAGACGCTCGGCCAGCCGCCCGCCGAGGACGACAGGATCCCCGTCACGGGTAGCATGACGACGGGGCCGAGCAGCTGAGCTGGAGGAGGGCGTCAGTCGTGTTAGCAGACATTCTGCAGCGGGTGGTGAAAACCCGGTGTGAAAACAGTGAAATTGTGATTTCGACCGTTTTCCACACGAATTCGCCCTTTGAGGTGATTCGCCCCTTCCCCGTTCACACAGACACGCGCGCTTACCTCCTATGACAAAGGCGGTGAATCTCCCTCGCTCCAGGGGCGGCGCCCACTTGCCGAGCAGAACGTAGCAAGAGGGAAACACAAAGCCCTGGCGACAACAAAAGCTTGGTTAGGTCTAGGTCTCCTAGAGCACCCCCTCAGCCCGCGGACACCCTCCGCCCCCCCCCCTTCCCCTCTCCCGGAGCAACTCAACCGGAGAAATGGACGGGAAAGGCCGGAGGTGGGGACGCACACGACCGATCGGGGCGAAGGCGGGGCGGGCCCGGTCTATTCTAAATCCCACATCCATGCTCGGATTACACGCTCGAGGCCGTGGCCGCCGCACTATCGCGACGGCTGCGGGTCACGAGCCATAGCGCCTCTTTGATCTCCGACAACACGCACCTGACAGAGGCCCGAGGCCGCGCGGGTCACGGCCACCGCGGGCCAGTCGCCGTACATGGCCGCCACGGGCAGCAGCATGGTGAAGAGCCCCGTGCCCACCATGGAGGCGGCCAGGAAGAAGCGCGCGCCGAAGCGCTGCGCCAGCTGCGAGGCCGGGATCTGCATCACCAGGTAGCCCCAGAAGAACGACGACAGCAGGTAGCCCTGCGTCTTTTTGGGCCACGAAAACACCTGGAGACGGGCAACAGACGTCGAAAATTAACATGACACTTGAAGACAAATTTTAATGGAAAGGGGAGGGGGTCTTCTAACCAGAGACGCGCACTGGCTCATTGAAACACTGGAATATGGAGGCTCACCGGGAAGTCGGGGTTGCCGCTGGCCGTGTGGTCCACCATGGCGACGATGGCCACGCTCAGGTTGACGCGCAGAGAGTAGGCCGTGGACGTGCACAGGAACAGCAGCAGCGCCTGCGCGTGCCGCACGCCCCACTTGGCTCCTGCGAGTGAGTGAGTGAACAACCGGGGTTTAGTGCGTGCCGCCGAATCGCAAATCGACTGTGAAGAACAAAGTTGAGCTTAGTAATAAAATCAGTTTTAAAGCTGCTGCTTGCAAGTGCTTTGCATCTTTTGGATTGCGATGTACAATACGTAAACTCAATAAAGATTAATGTGTCAGAAACAAACACCATTGAGCGGGGGGAGAGGAGGGAACTGCCCTATCCTGATCGTATATTTGAGGCGGTTCGGTTGTCGTTTCTAACTTTTGAATTTCTTCTTCTCCTTCCGCTACAGCACACCTTCGGAGTTCCATGTTCCATTATTCCAAATGTGCAGTACGTGTGTGTTCGCTTCTAGAAGACCGTCTGTTATAATTTAATTTTTAAAGGGCCGCCTACAATGCAGCCAGAGTAAGGCGTGGGAAGTGGTGAAGTAGCCCCTCCTGAGCGCCCCTCGAAGCACCCCCGCGGTGTGGTGTGGTGTGGCAAACCGGGACATATCACTTCGCGGGGCACTCGCGAGGGACAGCATCCTAACCTCAGTTCCCTTACTCTACTCCTAAACCCTACTCCATCATTGTAGGCGACGGCCCTTTAGATTCCGCCACCCTTCGACTACCAAACTCTTCCTCCGGCGATTTCACGAGCTGTGTTTGTGTGTAGTGCCTCTCGGGGTTATGCCACAGCAGCCGTGCGTGGGGGCGACTTCGCTTGTTCCTGTTTCGGACACGGAGTGTATAGTGTCGTACACACACTCCGCGGGGTTGTGGCGGTGCGTCCCAGAGGAGGCCAAACTCACTGCGTCGCTTGGTCCGTGGGGCCTGCAGGCCCGGCAGCAGCGGGGTGTCTTCGGCCGGCATCACCAGGCCCATTATATGGAGGCGGAGGCGCGGGTGCGCGGGGAGGAGGAGAGGGGCGGGCGTCCGCGGGCGTCTTTACGGCACGGCGACGCACTTCACTGCCGCGGGGGGCGGGGCGCTGCGCGGCGGTGGGTGCTTTTAGTGCTCCGGGACGAGCAGTAAAAGGCAAGGGCTACACACACCCGGTGTGTCGCACGGCCCGCGCGCGCACGAGGTTGCAGAGCGACGAATCCCACTCGCTCCAGCTCGCACCGCTCAGCACCGCTCGCACACACACTGAGGCGGCCCGGCCCACTGTTTACATCCAGCAGCCGCCTGGGCCAGGGCTGCCAACCCAGCTCCGGTGGCGGCGCCAAAAGTCTACGCGCCGGAAGCGCACCGACCAGACCAAAAGCTCAAAGCTTTTCGGTAAAGCTGAAATGCCGAAGATGGCGGGCAAGAAGAAAACGGAAATCGCTATGGCGACTTCTCGTTTTCTTGTTCCCTGCATTATTCAGCATTTCAGCTTTACCGGAATGCTTTCTTGTGCTGCACTAACGAGAACGATAGGCCCTCCTCTTCCTCTGGGCGGCTCGTTATTTGCAATGTTTGCAATGAAACACAAAATCTTTTTTCTCACAATGTTGAGTGCGGTGCGAGTGTTTCGACGTGCAAAGGGTCAGGCGCAGGCTCGATCACGGCTCCCCCCC